ATGATCCAGAGGCAAATCATCCTGGCACCGGGGCTGACCAAAAGACTTGTGTGTGTGTCACAGAGCCACAGAGGGCAGTGCAGGAGCAGTTCACTGCAGGAGCGTCTGTGGCTCGGGCCCTGGTGGCTGCTGTTAAAGCTAGTCATGTGCCCGGGCATTTGCAGTTCTCAAAAAGCCGTGTCTTGTTTGCCACTGGCTCTCAATGTCCAGTGTATTTGGGGAACAAGACCGGATATGTCCCCATGTGGCAGGGAACAGTGTTGTGTGTCTGGATAGCAGCATCAGCGCATGCGATACCTCCTTATTTGACACAGTTTGGGCCACTGTTACAGTGCAGAGCACAAATCGCCATCATGAGTCCCACAGTGCTGCTGCCTCTAAATATAATCTCTCCCATTTGACCACCTGTACTGGAGAATGAATGAAACAAGAATTTACCCATCATTAGCCACTTATTTTCTCTGCTGCCCTTTCTGGCCAATCTAGCAACAAGGTCTGGAAGTGTTCTTGGTTTCTGGATTTGTGGTATGCTGCTAGTTTTCTCCCTGTGAAGTCTGAATTAGATTAGGACTAGCTTTATAAGGAATTTTAGATGATATCTGTTGCTGTTCACAGCTTAGCCAGGGTGTAGCCCAGTAATCTGAATGGACTGTGATTTACTGCCACTGGTGGAACGAAACGGAATCACTTTCTCTGATTTATATTCTCTATTGTAGTTAAATATTTACACAGTATCAAGATCTTAGTAATTGAATGGCTAACAGATAGGCAGCAAATGTTTATACACTCTAAAATAGCCACAGGGCTGTTGAGGTAATGATATTTCATACTGATAAAAGGTCTTTCAGTAAGGAAAAAACCTAAACATTCGGCTTCATTTTGTTCTCAGGGGTAGTACTAGCTCATGCTGATTTCAGGGGGGTTTTGCAATTTTTTTTTACAGATTTGAGAAGAAAAAAATACATTTATTTCAGAGAAATACTGTTGCTGAAATGACTTGTGGAGCAACACAATAGCTTTTGCACAAAATGGTGTCTATTTTGGGTAAAAAGGCAAAAAGTATTATTCCTTAGTACTGAAGCTGGCAGATTTAAACAATGGCTACTATTAAATCAGCATGACTTTTACTTGCAAAAATGCACCATTAAGTATTTCATGATCCATAGGGGCTCAAATTATCTATGTATTTTTTTATGGAGCAAAAGGGATTATTTAATTCACAGAACTGCAGAATGGCTGAGGTTGGAAGGGACCTCTAGAGATCATCTAGTCCAACCCCCCTGTTCAAACAGGGTCACCATGTTCTGTTCAATTCTAGGTCTAAGAGAGGAGAACAGAATTCAAAGCAGGTGCAACAGTTATAAATGAGTAAAACTCCTGGAGAAAATTTTACGTCATTTGCAGTAAAATTCAGAGCATGTAAGTAGAGGTGATCTATGCTACTTTGTCTGGTTAGGATTGTGTCTTTGGTTAGCCAGAAGTGCACATTTCTGGGACAGTGCAGTTACCTCTATCCTAGAACTGTATGTTTCTCTAAGCAAAGAAACATTATCCTTACTTAAAACAGATCTGCATGGAAACATTCTATTTGGACAATTTTTCATTTTCCGCTCTCTTATTTTTAAGCGCTGGTTGAAATTGTCAAACAGTTCTGCAATGCTGGGTTTCAAACAGGACTAGAAGGCAAAAAATAGGGGTTCAGTGAAAAGACAGTTCTTGCGTTCCTTCCCTTGATTACTGGAAATTCTTATGTTCTTTCCCTCGATCACTGGAGGAGCACTCGCTCCTCCTGCAGGGATACGCGGCGCTTCAGCACCGTGGACAGCGCCGCAGCGCCCGCGGGGATCCCTGCACAGCTGGACAGGCCGCGGGGCGGCTGGAACAGCTGGACCTCGATGGAGACCACAGCTGGACCCAGCTGGACCGGCGACAGGCCAGCAGGGAAGCCCCGCTTGAGGGGTGCTGGGGCTTGGATGCCCTTTCCATCCTCTGGACAGGGCTTCATGTGCTAGGCGCTGTGCCCTGCCCCGTGGGCAATCGCTTTAAAGCTTAACAGATATTTCGGTAGGTAGATACTAAGTTGTGAGAAGAGTTTTGTTACCGTTAAATGTTATTTCAAGTTTTATTGGACATAACTTAAAGGAAATAATAAAATCAGCTCATGTTATAATTAACTTTTTTCAATCACACACAATCATAAACATCAACATGTCAACTGTTAAATTAGCTTCCACTTCTATTCATATTTCTAAAGGCATGGATTGTTTTAAAATGAACTTCAAGCAAAAAAAATGTTAATATAAGATGCATATTTACAGGTAATGAAGTTTACCACTGCCCAAAGGACCTCCCAGTGCCTCTGGGGCATTCAAGTCATACTTTTCCACCCCAGAGGTATATGGGCCTAATGATCCTTCTTGGCAAGGGGAAGCTTCTCATACATTTTGCAGCAGCAAGAATCATGTTTTCTCTTCAAACTTTTCTGTACTGTTCCAGTGTTGGAACCAATAGGAGCCCAAGTGCAGAGATTAAGCGCATGACCAGAAGCAACATCAGAACCCAAAACTTTGCCCCATGCTCCTCTATTTCAGCTGCCTGATTGTTTTTTAAGGTAAATTATTCATCAAACACTTCACTTGAATCTACAGTTTATTTGCCAGGAGACAAGGGGACCTGTCCAAAAGGGTGGCAAAGATTGAAGCGCTGTAATCCCTGATCCTGCAGGGTTGTACCCAAGACACGACTGTCTTGTGCCAGCTGTCTGCTGAAGGACATATTCCTGTATGCAGTGATCTAATTATGCTGAAAGGTAGTGTCAAAGAGGGAGAATGATCCTCTATTTTTAAAACATAATAAAGCATGATTTAATATTTATTGACAGGACCCAAAATATTTGAAATTGCTGCAGAATCCGTAATATCAAAATACATAAGGCATAGCGTGCAGTAGCAATGGAATACATAGATGGATCTTTCTATGATGTTTTATAGCAGCTTTAAAGATGTGGCATATAGAGCTGCAGAGACTGTAGTCCTCTAGTCACACTGTCTTTTTATTCCTTGGATACTGTTTATCCCACATCATTACACACATCGGAGTCTCCCATGACATAATTATGTTAAGGACTGGCATTGCCTGCACTCTGCACTACCACTACACCACTAAAAATTCTAGTATCAAGAATGTTTTCTTCAGTGTACCCTTCATAGTAGGTTTAAAAAAAAATCTTAACAGAAAAGAATGGATTTGGAAAAAAGGAGTTGCTTGTAAGACACTGGTATTTTTTTGTTTGTTTGTTTCCAGCTTTCATTTAAAAGCAGGAAAGTCCTGTAGGTACATTGTTTTTGACCAGACCAGTTTTCTTCAGGTGGCCACAATAGAACCAAAAAAATGTTTTACTTAGGGTTTTTTTTTTTTTTCTCCTCTCAATCCTGGACAATGCTGCCTGCAATAAATCCTTTCAAGTTGCCTAAGTCTACTAACACTTTAAAGTTAAAAATAAGACACTTTAACAAAAACACTTTAAACACTTTAAAGAAAAATAAGCAACCTGAAGGAAATCTTACATATGTTTATTATTTTTACATATGTGAGTGGTTCATTAATGGCTGGGACCATAATGAAAGAAATAATAACTAAATAATTCCCTTTATTTCTACGTACATTTCTATGTATTTCTAGTACATTCAAGTACTGCAAGGTAGAAAATAGGTAATACAAAACATTACTGTGAGCTTACTTCATGTTAGCTGACTTCATGTTTTTAGTCGTGTTACTACCAGTTAAAGCATTCTTGAGACAGTGATGATCTTGGCTTCAGGATTCCCCTGCCTGACAGGGATATAGGGCTAGACAAGAGCTAGTATTTAAGATCATGGCTCCCAATCAATCACTCTAACCACACTGTGCCTCCCCAAACCAGAGATGTTTCACATAGGAAACAGGGAGGGAGGAAAATTGGAAGAACCTCTGACATGTTTATATTATCAAGAAGCTGTTTCCTGGAAAGTAAATATTCAGTTTCACATGTGTAGCTCTTGATAGAAAAAGCCCCACTGCAGCCACAGAAACTGCTTGTATAGCCAAGAGTAACTCTTTTATATGGGCTTTCAACATCAGGCAAGTAAATATGGAAGACAGTCCACTGAGAGGCTGACAGTATGCCACGGGTGAAGGGAATGGGTCCCAAGCAGAAGAGAATTGTGTACACAATACATCCACCCAGGAGAAAATTCCTGTCACTAATATATTGGGCCGGGGCCTTGGCTGATGATGGCAGTGTCATTATTCAGAATCTCTGGGTCTAGTTCCTGTGCTATAGCTAGAATGGGTGAGAAACGGGCTCGAACTTTCTAAACTCCATTTACCTGACAGTTAAAGTACCTTTAAAATATAATGCAGTAAACACATTAGTCTTTTAATCACAGCAGAAAAAAATCACCTAAACTTGCTGAATTACTTGTAACTAAGTAGCCTCTAGGCAATAGAAGCAAATCCTGTTTATTTTGAGGCATTGTCAAAAAACAATAGCTCCACGTGACAGCAGGTAGGTCAGCCTGGTGTAGCTCATTAACAAATACCACGGTTGCCTTAATCCAAGGCAATCTATGTAGCCAAGAAAGGCCCAGGTCACATAGGAACTGTTGATCCTCAGCCACTGACCTATGTCTTCTGTGTTATCCATGGGCATCTGCAATAGAGGTGATATTTCCAAACTGTATTTCCCAAATCCCTTCTCATTTGGTTCATGTGGAAGTGACTTATGGTGCTGAAAGCAGTCCTGCACCAGTTGGCAAGGAATGGCTAATGATGGGAAAAAAAAAATGAAGCAAATAAGGTGATGAGGTGTCTTATCATAGAAACGAGAAATAGATCCCATTTGTACATCTGGCTTGAGACAGATAAATATCTAAGTGCAATCTGGAGCCACTCCCATAAAACCTAGGAGGGAGTGAGGACTGAGTAGGTAAGAATATTGTTTTAACAGAGCCCAAAAGGGAAATCTTTTCTGTTGCCTGAACAGGTCTCAAGCACAAGATGAACTGTCTGTCTTCCGTATTCCCTACAGGTGGCCCTTGAGGCAGGTGCTTTATTCATGCTGCTTGGGCACCCAGGTGAATCTCCATCCTCCATCATCATCTCTGCACACGAAGGCTTGTCCTTGGTGGAAGCTGTGTGTCCTCACGTTGCGGTGAGGGCTCAAAGAGGTTGTGAAGGCCACCTCTGTTTTATTAGGTGACAAGTCACTAGTCAGATAAGGCAACCCATAGGCTGGGAAGGAGGAAAGGCCTCGCGTCGGTGAGGAGACGCATGGTGCTGAGGAGAGCTGAGGAATGAAGGGAGAGCCCTCACCACATGAATGGGCACTGCTGTTAGCTGGAGGCATCTGGCCACAGCTGTAAACTGCTGCTGCAGCCTCACTGTGGTCGTAGTCTCTTGCTTCACTGGGGCCCAGGCAGTACATGTCTTTTCCAAGGTCTGAGGACAAGGCACTGTAGTTAGCTGATAAGGATTCATCGATAGTGTTGATGTCTTTTAATCCTAAAGTCTGCAAAACCCAGCTGTCCACGGTAGGACTGGCTTGTTCTTCACAGGCAGTGAACTCATTAAAGAGATTCCTTCTAGCTTTGGAGGCATGTGGAGTTTCCTGAGGAGCAAAGCAGTGGTCGTCTTTTAATCTCCTTTTGGTGTTTTTGAGAACAGTACAGTTTTTCTGGCCATGGCAGGACAGCAGTTTCTATAAAATAAATAAAATGAAGCAGAGAAAATAGATTAAAAGTTGATTCTTTAGTTACTGGAAAGCCACATGTTTATGTTCTCAGATTTTAGATGGACAAAATGATTAGTACTACCTTTATACGATATTTGCTTCCACTCTGTGCTCTTTTCTGTTCCTTAAACTTACAGATATCTAATCCTACTAATCATTTTGTGTCTTCATAGCCTCTGCAGCAACTTAGTCCCTAACAGAGAAGAATCTGACTGTGTCAATACGGCCTTTGTTTCGATTGCATTCCCACTCAGCAAGGCGTGAAACGAGAGCTCCTGCCTTGCTATACAGCACTGCTCTGTGCTGATGCTGCCAGCAGCCTTTGGCAGGTGAGTGGGTTTGAGGGGGAACATGCTGCCTGACAAGGAGAAGAGATGTGGAGTCACGGCAGGGCAGGTGAGATCCCAAATAGAGACCTGTCTGAGCTGCAGCCTGTGCGGCTTGAGCTCCTGCATCTACCTCAGTTGCCCTCAGCACAGGGCCAGGGCCATTCAAACATTCAGAGGTGGACAACAAAAGCCAAGAGTAACAAGGAAAATACCCATGGACATCATGAATTCAGTGCTCAGCCACCTCCCATGGGGCACACGCTGGATTGTCTTCCATATCCAATGGAAGGGTCTCCACATTTTCCTGATATGCCTAGTGAAGGAGACTCTCTTCTACTGCCAGAAGACAGATCTTGGCATGGGAGAGGATAGGCCACATGGTCAACAGGGAATAGGATGGAAAAGGGAAGTTCACGTTTTTTTAATAAATACATTTACTTCATGCCCATCTTTAGAGGTAAGCAGATAACTGATAATTTGTTCTCATTGGCAAGTCTAGAGTAGTAAAAATGTTTAAGCTGACAAGAAGAGAGAGAATCAAGGTATTTTTTAAAATACATATAATGAAATTCAGTTTAATGGAGTGTTTCATCCAACTTAGTGTTTCATTTCAGATTCCACCTTTTAAAGTAATATATAATACTTTTTAACTAATAAAAATGTAAAGATCAGTGTTCTAAAACAAATGAATCAAAACATACCTTGGAAGATGTTACAATAAAATATATAAAAAGAAACCACCCATTGCAATTTGGCAGTTCTGTAAAGTTAAAATAACTCTCATAGTGCAGATTTCTACACTTTTCCATGCATTTTAATGGCATGTACCTATCCACCTGTTTCATGTGCATATGTCTATACAACAAGTTTGAACACAATACCTTGGCTTTTTCTTCTAGGCATTTAATCAGGGCAGAATTCAGGTATTGGCGGAGGTTATTATTTTCTTCATGTAACCTAGCAAGTTCCTCTTCCTTCTGAAGCAAAGTATCTTGAAGCTGCGGAATAGAGATATTGATGAATAGATGTTGACTCTGTAACTTAATAGCAATTGCCCTATGGTACAGCCTGCTTGGATTTGTGATCTGGGTGTTTGCTTTGTGAATTCAACCCACCCCCTCAAGCCTCTTGTCTCTGTAAATCTAAGTGGCATGACTGTTCAATTTTCACTTTTGACTTTCTTTATTCTTTAACGAGTGCTTAAGAAGGTAACTCTGAAATAAAAACTGTCACGGAATAATAACAGAAGACAATTACAGGTAGCTGCATAAGTAGCCAGAAATGGCCATGGGCATGACGGCAGCTGCCAGGTCTCCTGTTGGGTGGCAGTAAGCTTCTCTTTGCTTCCCTCTCTTTCCAACGTACAATTGGCTGGTGGGCAAAAAGGGAAGGAAGGAAATGTAGACTAATAATTTATGTGGTTAGGGTACAGAAGGAAGATCCTACTGTCTGTCTTTACATTCCGCCGTCATTTAGGCATCCCTTCAGTCCTTGACTGAAGAGTGGAGATAAACTGTGATCTCAAGAGCTGGACCAGTGGTTTTTGATTTGTAGACCACTAAGTTTTCCATGGGAAGTCTCAAATGCTCATGTATTAGTACAGAGGCTTTTGCCTCCTGATCACAGCTCTGGAGACGCCTTTAGGAGGACAAAGGACCTTCTGCCAAGCAGCCCAGGAGTGTGGGCTGAAAACTGCTGATCCAAACAGTTGAGACAAAGTCAAAGAAAGAAGCATGCTGACATCTGGAACTGACGTCCAGTCCCACAGAACTTGAAGCTAGTAGGTTTGTTTCCACTGACTTCATTATGTTAAAGTATTATTCCAAGTGTTGGGTCATGGGTCTTGGCGATCTTAGTGGGATTCCTTCATCCAGGATTGTTCAGTGTTTCTACTACTGCTTGATAAGATGTACTAAGATTTACCAAGAAAAAAAAAGGTGGGGGGGGGGATGATAAAAAGAATAGTGGTAAATTGGACTGTTGGCCCAAACAGTTGATCTTACATGGGAGCAACTTCTCTCCTGTAGGTAATTCTGGTGGACTCAGGAGGACAAATACCCAACAGGCTCTTAGTTAACATGTCCCCTTGCAACGCCAGAGCCTGGGTGACTGCTCTCGGATGGCCCTGGCCTTCTCCAGCACGGAGGCAGCTGGTGCGATGTGCTGCAGCCAGAGGGGAACCAGGGATAGGAAGCGCCACAGCAGTCATTCCAGCTTCACGAGGCAGCACCAAGGGCTGAAATATCCCAACGTAAGGGGCAAGAGGCATCTGAACAGAGAGGGTTCCTGGTGTTTTCCACGTCCGAACGATAGAAGATTTCTGCGGCGCGAGCAGTGCCCGCGGCGCCGGGCCCCTTACCTGCTTGTTCCTGTGGAGCTGGCAGGACAGCTGGTCT